ATTACGCGGAATTAAAAACTTAATAATTAAATAGCAACAAGTCACTTTTAATTATCTCTAGATAGTTAATCAATCAATTCAATTTCTCTATGTTGAACTGTCACAGTTATATGAAAATAGTAAATAACACATAGAATGATTACAGAGAAACCCCAACTAGGTAAAAATTTCAGGCACTTTGCCAGTCAAAAATCCACTATAAATAAATTTAAACTTACAGTCCATTAGACACGACTATCACTAGTACTTTCTGACCTTCTAACTGCAAATCCCACAGCCCTCCTGGATTGCATGCCCCTGCACCAACTCCCAACTGCAATTTTCAAAGCCCTGCTGAATTGCGCCCTCCTACACCAACTCCCGACTTTCTGAATTCGTCTATCTCCTGTGGATCAACGAAGAACTCCTCGTTCTCCAACAACAACTGGAACTTAAGTCACTTTCTCTTGATTTTCAAAACTTTGACAGATGTTTTAAAAAGTAAACAGTTTGGTATTTGGATTAAATGGGTTTGATATTTTCACCGCCAAGAACAAATCGAACAACGAAGGTTGAAAGATAAGGATGAATTTGATGAAGAAAATATGAAGCAACGTGCATTCTCTCAATGTTCAATCTTAGAAAAAATCGTTCAGAGGTCTGCAAGTATTTATACTGTAGGTTTAGGAATGAATTGACTGGATAAAAAGTCTTTAAAATGCGAATTAAAATTTTCCAAATGACACTGTTGCTCGAGCGAGAGCTTAGCGACATGTTGTCGCTCGAGCGAAGACATGGCGACATGCGAGCAACAATGTTTCTGTTTCTGCCACTTGAGTGAAGTCAAAACGACAGTCTAATGTAATTGCTGCGCCGTTTTTTACTTCTTTCCATTTTCAAACCCTAAACATAATATAACTTAACTTACAATATTTGCAATTAACTCCTTGACTTTACATCATATTAAATCTAGTCCTTTTTATTTACAGACTTACCAATTACATTAAAAACCTAACAAACTCCCCATTTGGCATTCTGTGATAAAATTACAAATTTAAAGTTAAGATAGTAAAAGTACAGACGCAAAAACAACTAATACTCCCAACACCAACTGTTTTGGTTGAAAGGTGCTTTTCCTTTGTCTAACATGTTTCCTAAAACAGATAACTCAAATACTCAATGAAAAGCACATGAAACAGTAATATAGATAAACACAATTCAAACTGTTAATCATAAGTTATACAAGCTAAATTAAGATGCAATATCAATGTAAACCAACATACCAAAAAAATATTGATATCACTAAATATCAAAACATAATCTAGCTAAAACAAAAATATCATTTACCTCTGAATCAAAAATTTGAAGTACATCAAAATGTTAATGTCAAA